TTTTTTTTTACCTCTGTACGATTTTTTTTTACCGAGTTATTCAACATTGAAGTAAAAATGGTCCCTTTGACTTTGACTGCTCATAAAAGACGAACGAAGTGACGTACAGCATTTTTTAAAAAAGCAAAAAAAAAGTTCATAATTTTCTCTTTAAGATGCTTTTATCAATTTTTAGACACAGATAAGCTGTTTATGTAAAAACTTAAGTGAAAGGTAAAGTTGAAAACTGAGACAATTTCCTGTTTCTATTCAACTCGATTTATTCTGATCAAAAAGAGAGAGAAACCCTATGATATTAACGTAATTTTACACTTTAGGGTCTACTGATTTCAATGAGATTCATACAAAACAGTCGCGACATTTTAAAACTAATGTCCTTCATGTTCGAAGTTACGATTTTGGGCAAGACGACATTTGTTGATTTGAATTTAATCTTATATCGCAGCATGCAATCACACCGCGATTGAGCGCCGTAACGTAAGTAAGTTGGCACGCTTGCCAGGCGATCTTCTCCAATCTTCACTACGCGTTACGGAGTATTTCAAACGTATTCCGCGCTCTAAGCAGTACCCACTTTTAATTTGTCTGCCGAAAAGAAGCAAATTGGAAATACGATTGTTTCATACGTACTTATTGAAACACTGCTTTACATTACGAACATTTTATGCATTTCACGTATGTAAAAACATTTACATATTAATTATTATTTACATATTAATTATTATTTTCTTAATTATTAGAGATCATGGCGATGCATATTTTCTTACATATTGATATGTTTTGTATATTTTTCATTCATTTTTCTCATGTTTCTAATCTAAAGGCCCAGGCACAGATTCTTGCATAACGCATAATGCATAGTGCATAAGGGAATTAACCAATCTTAATAAGGAAATTCTTCTTTTCCATGGAATGGGAGGAAAGGAAAGATTCTGATTAGTTGATTCACTTATCCACTATGCGTTATGCAAGAGTCTGTGTATGGGCCTTAATACACAAATAAAATATTAAAAACACATGATCTCTTCCCTTATTTCATTGTATCCTTTTTAAACTGTGTGTATTCCCGCTGTGTGGTGATTGGTCCCGCCATTTTTAGGGGGTCTGACTTCTGATCCAATAAAAAGAGTTCTATGGGTAGCCAGACTCTGTATTCTAGGGACACTAAGTACTACAACCGCTCACTGAGCACTCAGTGAGCTCTTATATCTAATTGGAGTATATTTTTAGATCTAATGGAATATGCCAATCAAATGCAAGAGCTCACTGAGCGCTCAATGAGCGGTTGTGGTACTGAATGCACCCATTTTATCCTTGTTGGTCACCGAATGTTGAATAAAGATAAAAGATACTCGGAGTTGACAGAAGGTTTGTTCGCGTCGCTTATTCCAAATTAACCCAGAGAGCACTTGGATCACCGGTAGGATGGCAGTTGGAGCAGTTGGATTCATGTGCCCCAACGCTCGGTGACACGAACGGATTTAGGAGAAGTTGGGACAAGCGTCCTCCAGAAAAAAAGCGTCGCTCTGCCCCATGGACCGAGATTAATCATTAAATTGAGCGCCACTCTCGTTAAAGTTGACTACAGAACTAAATAGGTTAAGATATCTGTAAGAACCATGAAATACTTCTCTCAACACTACACATTCTCAATCATTACGCATGCGTGCGTAACATGTCCCAACCGCACCACCTTCTGAGGTGAAGCAAATAGAGCATGCTCTTAATTGATCCATGGAGTATGCTCTAATGTGACGCGAACATCTAATCGCCATATTGGTTCCGGTGACGCGAACGTATTGGAGCACGTTGGAATGAACAGGAGCATTTGCGAAGTATCGTGTTCGAAAAAAAATGATGGCTAAAAGAAATGACTATCGAAATGAAGAAACATTTTGGTATGCTCTTCTTGCCATCTTTCATGCATCATTCTCCATATATTTTCTAGACGAAAATAGTTTGATTCCTAGAAAAAAAAGGTATGTCAACAAATTTTTCAATATCTCTTTTCTTTTTCAACATTTTAATAATATATACTAGCGAGTTGACAAAGTTCTTGGAAGTAATTTGTTGCACAGAAATAAATATATAACCTCATGAGGTTATGTACTTATTCCTGTATAATTATACATGTAAACATGTATCAAGGCAATTCTCTCCAAGTAAGAAGAGCTTTTGGAAAATTTTAAAAATCTCAGTCATAAACAGGATATTATCATGGATTTAGTCAGGACACGCGATGATGCAAAAAAACCAAAGGGATGGCCCACTCTTCCACTAGCTGACAGAAACTCATTCTATGAATGGGAGTTGTTCCTGCAAAGTAGCAGTAATTATGATTTCGCTGTAAGTACTTTATGTTATACACTTACAATAATATTCAAAAAATTTTCTATTGTAAACTGTAATCATACACTAAAGCTGGAATAGTGAGATTAAATTAAATTGATCACAAATTAATTCAATTTATTTTTATGAAAATTAAGATATACTAAAAATTAAAATAAAATTATGTTATTTATTATATCGGTCTAATTTAACTTATTGTTTCTGTTTCTCTGTAGGTAGCCTATCTCAGTGTTGTAGCTGAAAGAGGAGCAAATGAGGGAGAAATGGCTGCCAACATTTGCAAGAAATTGTTTTGGCCTGCGGTTGCATCTGGCCTGAACTGAACAGGGACTGAATTAAAAAAAGGAATCAAGTCCATGAAGTGTGGCGCATGCATCGTTGGTAAATTACAATAGGATCCAGAAGTGTTTTTAAAGATTAACAAATATTAATGATGACTCTCAAAATTAAGAATACAATAATTTTGAGAAAAGAGAGCTGATAAGAGTCAGATGTGGATCTAAGTGTGCACTAAAACGCCCATGTATTCTAACAATAAGTTAGAATAAATTGAGATTACATAATTATATATTGCACACTTATATCCACGTCAGATTCTCACCTCTTGGTATTTAGTTTTTATTATACTTAATATAAATAGCCTAATTCTTATTTTCCAGATGCATGTGCCCACCAGTACAAAGGCAATTTTATGAAAGCAACAGTATCGGGAGCTATTAGTACATGGCTTCGCAGCCATTCAAAAAAGAGGGCTGCAGACAACGGAATACCAACGTGATCGACAACTGCGGCGACGATTTCGAGAGCAACAAGAGCTCTATACCAAAATAGCGCACAAGTCCTCCATTTTTTACTTACTAACCATAAGTACCCTATACCAATAATACGAAGTGCTTATTGGACTACATACAACTAGATCGAAATGGCCAATAGGAAGGTTGTCGGCATTTTGGATCAGATAAAAGAAATGCGCTTCTTTGGTATATCTAGAGCTTTAAGAGAATAGAGGCCGAAATCCTACTAGCGGAGGAAGGAAAAAGGTTTAAGGGCAACATTATGGCCCGTATTCAGAACGCGCTTACAACGATGTTAGCACGCGAACATACTATACTTTACGTCACGCATATTATAGAATTTCAGAGATAAAAGTGCGCTTTTATCGATAAAAGCGCGTTCTGAATACGGGCCGATGTGTATGAAGCAGAATCGTCCGTGCGATCCCTGAAAAAGTAAGAAGATGCAAAATTAGCAAAATAATTGCTAATCATTGATCATTTCACATGAAAAAATAGAATGTCATCTTTAAAATGCTTCCTCATCGAGCTCGATATAATCATTTTTTATTATATTTCTAAATTTCAAATACCACTTCATTAGCTAAAATTAGTATGGTTGTAATTCTTCCTAATATAAACTGCATAGAGTTCGACTAGTTGGAATTGAACATTATTGTGTGTGTGCGCGCGCGTGTGTGCATGTAGTGTGCGTGCGGTGTGCGTGTGCGTGCGGTGTGCGTGTGCGTGCAAGCGCGTGCCTGTGCAGTGTGCGTGTGCGTTCGTGTGCATGTGCGTGCCTGTGTGTGCGTGTACGCGCGCGTGTGTGTGCGTGTACACGCGCGTGTGTATGCGCGTGTGTATGCGCGTGCGTGCGTGCGGGCGTGCGTGCGTGCGTGCGTGCGTGCGTGCGTGCGTGCGTGCGTGCCTGTGTGTGTTTATGTGCGTTTTGCGTGCGCATGCGTATGCATGTGCGTGCGTGCGTGCGCGTGCGCGCGCGCGTGTGTGTGTGAGGATGTTCGTATGAGTGAGTGAGTCAGTGAGTGCATGAATGAGTGCGTGAGTGAATGGGTGAGTGAGTGGGTATGAGTGTGTGGGTGAGTGAGTGGGTGAGTGAGTGTGCCTGTAGTATGCTTGTCATTATGCTTGTGATACGCAATGTATCACTTGTTCACTCACTCACATACACACACGCGCGCGCGCGCGCGCGCGCGCACACACACACACACACACACACACTCACACCCACAATAAAATTCAATTCCGACCAATCTAACTCTATGCAGTTCATATTAGGGGAAAAATTAAAACCATAATTTCAGCTAATGACAACAATATTTTAAATTGGAAATAACTTAACGAAAAATGATCGCATTAAGCTCAGTAAAGAACTATTTTAAAGATAACACTTTTCCTGGCAGAATAATGATCTTCAATTATCAATTTTACATCTTCTTACTTTGTTATCTGCCAAAGATAATCTTATCTCCAATAGAGTAGTATTCATTTGAGTAATAGTATTTTGTAATGTCTTGTCAGTATTTTTGTAGTTAAATCAAACTTTAAAATTGCTTATAAGAGACACTGGATGGATTTATGTATATAAATTTATTCAAGTGTGACAAATGTAATATACGTTTCGATTGCCGTTTAGATTCTTTTGAATAATAGTCCTACCACATAGGATAGTCTACCACTATTGTTGAAAATTAGTGTGACAAATGTAATATACGTTTCGATTGCCGTTTAGATCCTTTTGAATAATAGTCCTACCACGTAGGATAGTCTACCACTATTATTGAAAAGGATCCAAATGGCAAATCCAATCATATATTACATTTGTAATACTTGAATAAATTTATATACACAAATCCATCCAATGTCGGCTCTTATAGGTAATTTCATAGTTTGATTTAATTCGCTAGAGCTTTGTTATTAATCTATTTTTGTACTTTTTTGCTTATGTTATTATTGTAAAATTATTAGCGCTTAAATTTTGTCCATTCTACTTAATAAAATACTGTTTAAGTTAAGTAATACTGTTTAAATACTGTTAAGTAATACTGTTTAAATACTGTTTAAGATTTAGTCCTTAGTTTTTTACTTGTATTTTTCGATCAATCAATAATATCTAAATTTTGCGATACAGTTTATCAAGTTAATTTTCTCTAATTATTTTATAAGTTATAGTTACTAAACTAAAATAAAAAATCCTGTTGTAATAAATTATTCAAATATGGGCAAGTTAGAAATTTAGAAATTTTAAATGTGAATGTAAATTATCATTTACATATTTGTAATAAAGTATAAAACAATTGCAAATATTTTGTTATTTCGATCTCAAATTTTTTCTATCTGGAGAGTAAATTGCAGCAACGCCTGCAAAGCACAGGGTAAATGGTTTCATAATGCTTTTATAGCGCTTTCCGAGCGCTTTGCAGGCGCTGCTGTGCTACGCGGGAAGTGCTATAAATGTGCTATAAAACTGCTTTTATCCTGCGCTGATTATATGCGCTTTTATAGCGCTTTCCGAGCGCTTTGCAGGCGCTGCTGTGCTACGCGGGAAGTGCTATAAATGTGCTATAAAACTGCATTTATTTTGCGCTGATTATTTGCGCTAATAGTGCGCTTTTTATAGTGGATTTTGATAGCGCTTTTAAAGCGCTAAAAAACTGCTAGATTTATGCACCCGCAGAAGCGCTTTTTTAGCGCTTTTTAAGCGCTGATGTGCTACGTGGGACGTTTGGGAGGGTCAAAAGAACCCTCTTTCATAATTATATTTTTTCTAGCAACTGAAATGCGGATGGCTACTAAATACTGCTTGTCAAAATTTATGGGAACATCGATGCTTTGTGAATTATGATGAGAGAGAAAATCTTATTAATGTTGATCAAAACTCAATTGTTACTATCGGTACAAAATTTTTGTTATAATGCTTGTTATAAAACGTGTCTGAGCCACTGTGGGATATATATCACTGATGATATATTGAGCCACTGTGTGGAGGTGCCTGTAACAAGAAAAATAAAAAGTTTTCTAAAATATGAAATTATTTTTTAAATAAAATTTTGAAAAATTAATACCTGAATCATAACGTGTTTTCCATCTGCAGCGCCTATGCAGTTAGCAAAGTTCCACCAATTTTCAAATTTGTTAGCAATCTTCTTCCAAGTATCTTCACTGTATGATGGAAAAACTTTATC